AAATAAATAAATAAATAAATAAATAAATAAATAAATAAATAAATAAAAAGATAGGCAGAGACTGGAAAATACCTCGAGCAGATGAGAAAGGGCTAATGTCTAGAATATTTAAGAAAAATGCTACAAGTCAACAGAAAAAGTCAAACAAAGCACTTCTGTAAAATGGGCGAAGGGCAACTGACAGAAAAGAAAACCCAGGGCGCCTGGGTGCCTCAGATGGTTAAGCGTCTGCCTTCGGCTCAGGTCATGATCGAGTCCCACATCAGGCTCCCTGCTCCTTGGGAGCCTGCTTCTCCCTCTGCCTCTCTCTCTCTCTCTGTCTCTCTGTCTCTGTCTCTCATGAATAAATAAATCAAAAAAAAAAAAAAAAAAGAAAAGAAAACCCAAAAGGCCAATAGGTACATAAAGAGACACTCCACCTGACTAGTCATCAGGAGAATGCAAATTAAAAATAATGAGATATCACATTTCTCCCATTGGATTGATAGGTATTTTAAACTTTAAGGATGAGGGCTTCACGGTGGGCTACATGACGGTACCCAAGGGATGCCAGGAAGATTCCCAGCATTCTACCACAGGACTACCTTTGGCTCTATGTTTTGTTCAATATTAAAAAAAAAAAAAAAAAAAAACAACTTACACTTATGAAATTTGCATATGATTCTGTACTATAATGAATGGGTAGGATATTGTACCACAAAACAAGTATGAACATTTTTCATTTAGGCTAAAGTAGTAAGATGAAATTTGTCAGGGATGAAAAGCCTTTTGACTTAAGACTTTTAAAAAAAAGTCAAATGTACAATATCAACTGGCACTTCATTCTGGAAGCCATCTGTTAAAGGACACTGTCTATTAAAGGCTTCCCCTAATGGAAGATGGATGAACAAGATGACTGGGAAAGTCTAGAACTCAAGTCACAAAGAGGAATGGTTGAAAGAGCTAGTGATAGTAAGCCTCTGAGGAAAGAAAAGGGAAAAAACCCTAAATTAAATGGGGCAGCTGGTGCTCTTCAAGTATCTAGAGTTAACACATATGAAGAGGAACGGGTTTGTCCTCCACCGCTGCTCCTTAAGGGAGATCCAGAACCAAAAGATGCAAATTTCAAGATGACGGATTTCAGCGCAGTGTGCCCCTCCCCCACGAAAAGAACCCTGAGAATAATTATGGACTCTCTCTCTTCAAGAAAAGGAAGAAAAACAAGAGCTCCTGCATGCTTAAACACAGGGTACATGAACTGTCTTGGGTTTTGTAAAGTGTCTTCCTGACCAAAGTGTGTTGGAATGGAAGATCTTGCCAGTCCCTTTTTTTTTATTTTCTTGAGAGAGAGAGAGCGCGCGCGCGTGTGCACGAGAATGTGCGCAAGTGGGGGGGAGGTGTACAGCAGAGAGAGAGGGGGAACTCCAAGCAGGCTCCATGCCCAGGGCAGAGCCCAACACCAGGCTCAATCTCACAATGCTGAGACCATGACCTGAGCCGCAACCAAGAGTCAGATGCCTAACCAACTGAGCCACCCAGGCACCACCACCCCCACTTTCAGATCTTAAATTCTATGAGGACAGAGGGAGAGATGATGGCAACACTCGACCTATAAACACCCTTCAGGTGGCTTTTACTATTTTCCAAGCTAAAATGGATAAACTTTAGTTGTAGGGAAACATTACTGACTTTTCCCATCTATGCTTAGAATGAACTAGGAGAGATAGAGTCAAGAAAATGATTCCAATGTCTACATTTCATGTCTGAGAGGAAGTAAATGCAAAATAACAAAGCAAGTATGAATGGCACGGTGGGAACTACTATATGCCAAGTGGGAAATCTGTTTTAAACTGAACTGGGAATTCAGACAACACACTTGAAGCCAACAAGGAACAGGTGATACAAAGGTATGACTTGGGGGTGTGGACACTAGAAACCAGAAGTCCTAGCCTTGTCCAGCATGGGAGTCATGGTGGGCTTGGGTAATAACATAAATAAGCAGAGAGATCTGATAGCAAGTCACTGTTGCTGACTTAAAAAAAAAAAAAAGTCTGTGGAAGATGTAGAAGATCTAGGAAGAATTTTAGAATGAAATTGCTTTTTGTATAAAAGTCTATGGAACTACCGTCATCCCCCTTCATAAACACCACTTTGTATCCACGCTGCCTCTGACCACTGTGAGCAGGAATGTTTTGGAGTTAAAAGATACTGGTTACAAGTTCTGGTTCCACTATGTAGTGGTTGAGGGACCATGAACAAGTCATTTAACTCCTTGGCACCTCAGTCTTAGGTGAAATAGGGTACTAATAATCACCATTATTTAAAGGCTCAGAGATCCAAATGCAGTATGAAACTGCTATGTAACCTACATAGCATCACACACACTTTTGCGGTTGTTTTTAGTTAGAAGTAGCGGGAACCACCTGGTCATTCTCATCTCCCTGACTTTGCCTCTACTACAATTAGCCTCCCACCAGAAGGCAAAATCAAAAACAGGAAAAACTGGTCTTGAGATAAAGTAATAGTTTTTACACCCAGCTGCTCATTAAAAACACTTGGGGAGCTTTTTAAAAATAGAGCTTCTTGTGCTCCAGACTTAATGAATCAGAATCTCTAGGGATAATAAGGTGAATGAGGCTGGACAATATACGGGACAAGTATGGGCACCTTTACAACCACTGGAATACCAAAAATAGAAGCCTGGCAACTTACCCCTCTATAAATTTCATCCGAATGCAGTATTATTTAAGTGTAAGATGTTTATTCTGATTTTCATCTTTTTTTTTTCACTCGTTGCTCAGGCAGTTCAGGAGTTTTCAAGATACATAACTTTAATCTCAATGTACTTTCAGGGACACGGCAAGAGATAACCACAAATTGGGTTCAAAGTTCCAGTGCAATTCATATGCTCAGTTACTGCTGTGTCAATTCAGCTACAATCATTAATTTTGGCAATTGCAAAAGTTAATTGGTGATGCTTACAGAATTGTGTGTTTCTTCTTTAAGACACTCAATTACCAGAATTACGAAGCTGAAAGGAGCTTGGAAGTTTGACTAGCCCCAGACTAACATTTTATAGAACAGAAAAACAAGGTGAAGAAGTCTAGAATCAGAACTCCCAGGTTCAGTACTTGTGGGGAAAGACACTGTAAAAGACCTGCCCTTTCTTAGCAACATGAGAACTGTCATTCCTTTTCCAACTGACTCATAGGTCGAATTTTTAAAGCCCCTTCCTATAATTTTTATGAGACTGAGGATCCCAGGGTGAGAGCAAATTCTGTCATTTTAATACCGTTACAAAGTAGGCTCTATATCTTCACTCACCCAAACCAAACACTCCATCATTATGGTTTCTAGTATAAACCATATCAGAATAAAAGGGGGAAAAGTGTAGCAGCAACAAGATCAGTGTCAATAAGAGTAGGGGCTGACATCATTTAGGAACTGTGAGCTACAATGAAGCTTTTTCTGACGACCTTAGTCCAATGATGGATCTTTACAAATTGTTAAAGAAGATTCCTCATTTACCCTCCATCCCATCCTGTCACACCTTAGATCTTTCTTCGGACGTCCCTTGACTGTTCCAAGTAAATAGTAAACTATGTGTAGGGGCCTTGACTCCCCACCAGCTCTACCAACCCAGAACATCAAGTTGGCAGGTGCTGGACAAAGTATTATAATCTGTAGGTGTGACTTTCCCTTCGCCTAGTCTACCTAGCAGGTAGTCACGGCCTCGAAGATCCCAGGAGCCGTCCGGCCCAACGTCCCCACGCATCAGGCCGGACCCTCCATCCGCCGCTGACTTGGGCATCCCGCCAGAGATTGAGCGCTTCCGAGCTGCCCCTGGCAGCGCCCCGGCGGAAGGACTCGGCCTCCACACTGGCGGACGCCCCGAGGCCCCAGCCAGGGGATCTGGCCTCGCCTAGCCTGGCTGCGCCCCCGCCCGTGCCCCGACGCGGCCCTCACTTGTGCGTTTGCTGGTAAAGCGGCTCCATGTCGCCGGCCCCGCCGGGTCCGGCCCTGGCTTCCTCGGAACACGTCCTCACAGCCCCGCTTCCGGCTTCTGGCTTCCGGCTTCCGGTCGGGGGACCCGCCCCCTCCTGCCGACCAGGGCTGTCCCCACGCGCGCCCTGCTAGTGGTCGTGGCGAGAGAGGAGGAGGGCAACGGGAGAAGAGGCCCGGACGAGAAGGCTAAGTGTAGTCAGAGGCGCTACCGCAGGTTGGGGGCGAGGAAGCATAGGTTTTGGCAGGGGGCGATCTTCAGCATCGAGTCAGGCGTTTGGCAAGGGCAGTCGGAGAGGACTGACGTGAGGTCCTCAGAGCCGATACCTGCCCTTCGCTGGGGCGGGCTTCTCTGTAAACTGCCTAACTGTGGGTCTGGAGATTTCGCTCTTCCCTGGCGTTTCTGACCCAAGCTTCTGTGTCAGATCTGTCCGTTTACTGCCCCCCCCCCCATTTATCCTTCCAATAAACCCACAATGAATGAGTGGTTACCACGTGTCATGTGTGCTGTGGGAGAAACCGGGTTCCTCTTGCCCTCAGAAGAGGTCGCGGTCTAGGAAAGGAAGTAAGATAAATGTACAAATAAACATCTACAAGGGAGAAAGTCCAAAGAGACTGAGCCGAGCTGGGGTCGGCCCCGTCGGAGATTCAGGAAAAACTTAACGTAGGAGGTGGCATTTGAGTTGGGACTTGGAGGATTTGGACGCTTCGGTCTCCTCATAGACCTAACCCGTGTCCACCCTCCCAGGCTTATCTGCAGTTCCTCCCAAGGGAGGAGATGTTCCTCTTCCTTTGACAAGTTGATGCTTTTATTTTCCTGTATCCTGGAGCCCACCCAGTTTTGTGTCCCAAGAGACTGTCCACCCATGTACATTCTTTCCCTAACATTTTTCCATTTATTCTAATAATTTATTTATTCATGAGCACCTACTATTACTAGGCACAGATCCTGGGGGGAGGAATACAAGTAAGTTAGCCCTCAAACGTCTCATCTCTCATAGTCTGTTGAGAGGGCTAATTATGCCCTCAAGCTACATGATCAGGTAGAGTAAGTGCTATAAATGGTACAAAATACCATTTTTCTGAAGAAAAGCGCAAAGGGTTCATGGACTAATTAGCCTATGAATGGGACCTTCAAGAATCAACAGTTTCTTGTTTTTGTTTTTAAGAATCAATAGAGTTTTAACAGTGTCTTGCACATGCTAACCACTTTGTAAATGTGTTTTTTTTTTCCTAAAGATTTATTTATTTTAGAGAGAGCACACACCAGCTCACCCCAGGGGAGGAGGGGCAGAGGGAGAGGGAGAGAGAGAATCTCAGGCGGACCCCCCACCCAGCAGAGCCCAACGCTGGGCTCTATCCCACCACGGTGAGATCATGACGTTAGCAGAAACCAAGAGTCGGTTGCTTAACTGACTGAGCCACCCAGGCACCCCTGTAAATGTTTATTTTCTTGGCTTAATAGAGATGAAGGGAAGGACAATTGAAGCTGAGGATATAGCTTGAGAAGAGGAAAATCGTGAGAAAGAACATTAGACCTCCCGTGGCTGGGTTTAGGGAGCTTGGGGCAATAGTAGTGTTAGAAGGAAAGTTGGAGCCAGATCATGGGGGATCTTAAATGTACGTGTAGATTTTTATTTACAGATTTTTTTAAAATTCTATAGGTAGTTAGAAGCTTTTAGAGGTTGAATAGAAATTTTAAATTTTCTCAAAGAATTTTTATACCTATATTTTGTTCTTCTTTGGACCTCACAGCCTCCCAGTGAGGTGGGTAAGGCAGATAAGGATATTGAAGTCCAGAGGACCTCCCCTCTGCTTCTCAGGCTCTTAGGTCTTTATATGGGCATAGGGCTTTCTCTAAAGAGAGGAAAACTCCATCCCTCCATCTTGCTGCACTTTTAACTTCTATCTCATTTCTTTTTCTTTCATGACTAAGCCATCTGGACAATTGATCTACACTGGCAACATCTCTGTGGGTGGCTTGCCTTCCAACCTCTCCTCTGTTCTCCTAGAACTGTTTTCTAGCTCACCAGAGTCTACCTCACTTAGTCCAGTGGTCTTTTTCCATGAATCTTCATACATATATTCATTAAACTCATACTATGTATCAGGCACAATGCAAGGATTGGGGCACAAAGAGGGGTAAAACATCCATCAGCTTGCCATAGAAGTTCTTTATTTTTTATTTAAAATCAATTAAATAACATATAGTGTATTATTAGTTTCAGAGGTAGAGTTTAGTGATTCATCAGTTGCATATAACACCGAGTACTCATTACATCAAATGCTCTTTTTAATGCCCATCACCCAGTTACCCCATCCCTCACCCACCTCCCCTCCAGCAACCCTCAGTTTATTTCCTACAGTTAAGAGTCTCTTATGGTTTGTCTCTTTCTTTGATTTTGTCTTATTTTTCCTTCTTTAATATACACATTTACACAGAAGGGAAACATCCACAGAGATATTTAGAATATCATGTGGTGAGTGTGGAATAGAGGTGATTAGGAACTACGTGACGACAGAGAAGTGACACAGCCTAGTTTCGGGATTCAAGAGGGCTTCAAAGAGAAGATGATACCTGAACTGAGTCTTGATTTATTTCTTTAAAGCTAGTTACATTATTACTCATGATGCTGCATCAACCTTCACACTGACATGAATACTCATGACCCAAAGTTTGTTACTATGCTTCACTGATGATGACACTAATGGCAAATTTTCCCCAGGGTATGCAGGAAAAGATGAATAATAATTCACTGTTCAGAATTTTTTAGTAAAAATCTATAATAATCTAATATATAACATATATAAGCTATTATATATTATATATATATATATCTTCCAACTATGTCTTTTCTTCAATTCTTTAGGCCTTAATTCCTGCATTCCTAGAATATGATCTCTTTCAGTGTTGATTGCACCCCTGCCTTACACACACTGAAACCAGGTGGCAGAGGAGAAAGGGTAGCTAGCCTGGAGGTGCATGGATGAAAAAAGAAGAGAAGTCCCATTCATGCAAGGAATACATGGCCTTCCCCCAGCCCTACTTAAGACTGACTCAGTGGCTCATGACATCAATAGAGTGATCAAAGGAAAGAGAAGACATTGATTGTAAAAGCCAGTCGGCAGAGTAATGGTTTCGAGCAGAGAAGACAGACATGGCCACCTCTGGTGGACTGCCTGACGTGTGGTGTGAAGCCTTTGGTGGGCGTGGGGTAATCACTCTCACCAGGGAAGGTGGGGAGCCCCACATGGAGCAAAAAATGCTGCCAGCCCCACTCTTCTGGTGTGTTGTAGCCTGGAGTCAGCCTTGTGGTCAGAACACAGGCTGGCAAGAGCCATGACATGGACCCAAACAGGTGGCTCAGCTCCAAGGGTCAATGGTGGACTGTCAGTAGCCCAGAGTCCTGAACTCATCCTGTATCCAATATGAATGGGAATCACCCCAAATCAGCAAGTCAGTACCATTCAGGTGGGGTGAGCTCGTGCAATGCCACAAAAGAAATACTGTGCTGGTAGACAGAAGCAATTTTCTTGTCAGATTGCCCTGGACAACCCACAGGCATGGGCTCTGGAGCTCTTCAGGGCTCTTGGTCAATGGATACCATGTATGGGGTGGAAGGTTGGACAGTATCCCGAAGTGGAGAAACAGAGGAAAATGATCCCAGCCACTGAAGAGGGACTTAGAAAAATTCAGAAATAGCACACCAAAGGGGGTCCCACAGGCCTGGGACCTGGGCCAGGGACTTCACTTGCCCAGATCTTAGGACTATATCATGTTGCAGAATAAAGGTGGTTTCATATTCTTTGCTCCCATTAAAAGATGGAGTCTAATTCCATTTCCTTTTCAATCTGAGCTGGACTTAGTGACTTGTGTAACCAATATAATGTGGCAGAAGAGAAATGCTGGGTTTCCCAAGGCCAGGTCATAAGAAGTCTTGCAGTTTCCACCCAGCTTTCGGGAGCACTCATGCTGGTAAACCTGAGTCACCTTGGAAGAAGTTCAACTACCCTGACACCATCATTCTGGAAAGCCTGTATGTGTAGGTGCTCCACCCAACATGCTCAGCTGAGCCAGATCTCCCAGCCAAGGCACCAGACATGTAGGAGAAGCCATCTCGTACCCTCTATACTAGTCTATCCACCAGCTGAATCCTACCCAGTGACCTCAACAGGAAGAAGAATGGAACTGAAGGATCATCCCACTCAGGCTATGCCTGAATTCCTGTCCCAGGAAATCAAGAGATAACAGCAAACTGGATGACATTTTAAGCCACTGAATTTGGGGATAGTTTGTTATACAGCAATAAATACCTGACCTCAAAAAGTTTGTCATCTAGACGGAGAGACAGGGTACAGGACTTATGAAAAGGTAACAATGCCATAAAGACAATTAGGTTCTGTCAGAATGCAGGGAAGGAAGAGATTCCTTTGAATGTGGATGATGAAAGAAGGCTTTCCAGAAGGGATGAGATTTCAGCTGGACCTTGAAGTAACAGGAAAGATTAAGGTGTATGGAGAGGCAGGCGCAGGGCATTCCTGGCAAGCCGGGAGGTAAATTTGGCAAGATGGAGGGAGTCCCGGGCAGTCTGTGTGGTTCCTCTGGGCCAGAGCAGAGGGTCGCTGCAGTAGAGAAAGATGAAGCTGGGATGCTGACAGGAAAGATGCATGGGAAACGTCTGCAGGGCTTTGAGCCTTGGCTAATGGAGTCAAGTAACATTTCAGGAAAATCAATATGATGCCTTCATGCTCTCTCTTTTTATTTAAGCTTCAAGAGGTGCCACACCGTTCTATGGTTCCAGGGTTTGGCACACCAACCCGGGATCAGCCTGTGTGTTCCCTTTGTGGTGTGATAAACTTGAAACCTCTGAGGAGTATTTTTGACTTGTCCAATTTGATGGAACTTAATTCTTGTCCCTGAAACCAAATTATTCTGTTGTGTGTCTCTGGCTGCCTCATTCGGTCCCTTCTCCTCAACTGTCAGTGCTCCCTACACTGCCCAGCCCTGGTCTCTGCCCCGCCTCCCGGTGCGTCTCCTAGTCCTGTTTCCTT